GTTACATTTGTGCATTGATATGATTGTGTGTATGTGAGGGAGGTTGTATGTGTGGGTGGTATATAATAAATATACCAATATATTATATTGGTCGTGAAATTTCAAATTAAGTTGAAGTTATAGGATGTTCAGTCAATTCTAATTGTTATCTCTCATCAGTATTCTCTTTGTTGTGAAATGTGGGTTGACTCGGGTGTCATTTTTCAGTAGCTTCTAATTTCGTTCATGTGTTAATCACGTAGATAACTTCCGAATGCCTTAAGTAGGGGATGGAGAGCATAACACAAGCAAATGAATTGCTTAGGTGCATTCATCTCTTCACAAAGGGTTGTAAAATGAACAATTTAATATGAAATAATTTTGTATAATTACTGAGAATAAAATCATATTGCAATCAATAACGAACCAGTTAGGAAACGCCTTATTTTTTGTGACGTTACGTGACATATTTTCCTTAATTTTGATAAAAAAATTTCGCTCTACATGACTTATCCGTTAACAATAATATGGTCAGAAATTAACGACGAAATTTACGAAAAAGAGTCTTTTGATATCGTCATTAATAAAAAACGGCTGATTCAAGTTTAGATTTTCCAAGTGATACCGAATCCATTCATATTTTCATCACGTAACTAGTGTTGACATGAACATTCCATCACCAGTTGTGTGATATTTTACTTTACTGGTTACGTAAGGTCAGGCGCTTCAAAACTACTGTCAGTTTTGAAATGTGTCAAATTACATGTTACAAAAGGACCTTTTATTTGAAATGGGTGGTGAAATAGGATGAATTTGACCTAAATCTCCCGTTGTCTACCCAATTGGGAAAATTCTCCCCTATACTATAATGACTCTTATTAGAATGGTTAGCTGATGCGTATACTCGTTCTGCCTTAGCACTATTTCCAAAACATATTTAAGTAAATTTCAAATGCGCAAATTTCAAACTACCCTAACATGGAGATTGCCTAGCTACCAGCAGGGTTGACGTACAATTATTTCCACAGATATTATACGATGGAAGTGAATACATAATAACCTGATTTTCAATTTTTTGAAAAAACTTCAAAGAGAAATGAAGATATCGAATCGCGATATGCGTCAAAATGTAGCTATTTTCATGCTCTCCAAGAGCGATGATGCAAGCAGTATCATATATGCCATTTGAATTTTTCGAGGAAATCCGAAAAAGTCTTAGTCGGTGAACGACACCTTTCATAAGACGCGATATGAACTAGTGACCGTGAACAAAGTCATTTTTTGGATGAGTTTGAAATTATCTTTCAAACGAGAAGATACAGCAATTTGAAAAATATTTTGTTCACAAGCTTCCCCCACCATTATTATTCAAGATACGAAAAAACGTTCTGAGGCCATTACAACGATGAATTAATGATATTTTCATTTCCGTTATCTAAAAATTACAATACAGAACGATTTTCTGCGATAATTAAAATTTCTCGTCTTATCACAGTAACTTATTCAACCCCCACCGGCCATTTTAAATGCTTTGTAGATGTTTCAACCAATTTTGTTGATAGCTGTTTTCCTTGGAGCTGTAAGGTTCCTGTTTCCCATATTATCGTACATTACCGACCTTAGTGATACACCCAGTATATGTACCAAAGATTACTGAATGACTAGTTTGTACTCTTCAATTTATTCACAATCGCTTCCGTTGTTCGGCTCAAAGATGCTTCATAGGTTTATAGAAAATATCAGCATCTCCGTAATCGGTACATTGTATGTTGTGTATTCATCAACACACTTTCATTATTCCATTTCCTAACTCTTATAAGTTCAGCTAACTACAAAAGCGTGTTTTCTGGTGTAATCTCCTACCAAGACAATCCCCAGATACTGATTTTTGATAGAATCGGATCATGTTCTGCCATATTGTGTCCGCTATACTGAATTTTCCAATTTCGATAAAAGCATCATAATCTCCAACACAAAAAAACCCAGATGCCAATTTTGAATAGAATCGTATCATATAATTACAGAACTGGTCCACCATATATTGGATCCGTCATGTCTAGTTTTCCAATTTCGACAAAAAAAATCATATTCTTCAACCTCGATAACTTCCAAATACTCGGATCATAATTACAAAACTCGTCCGCCATATTGGACCCGCCATCTTGAATTTCCAAATTTGACGAAATAATCATTACCCCCAGATACCAATTTTCGATAGAATTGGATCATGATCAAAAATCTCGTCTGCCGTATCGTATCCGCTATATTGTATTTTCCAATTTTGATAAAAGCATCATAATCTCCGACCCCAAAAAAACCCAGATTCAAATTTCGGATAGATTCGGATTCTTATTGAAGAAATCGTCCGCCATATTGGATCCGTCATCTTGAATTTACCAATTTCGACGTAAGAATCATAATCTTCGACGTCAAAAATCCTTATAATCCAGATACTAATTTTGAATAGGAACGGATCATTATAATCACAAAAGTTGTCCGCCATCTTGAATTTTCAAATTTTGACCGAAGAATAAAAATCTCTGATCCCGCGAGAACCCGCAGATGGAAATTTTGTATAGATTCGGATCATAATTACAACATTTGTCCGCCATATTGGAACCGCCATCTTGAATTTATCAATTTGGACGAAAGAATCATAATTCCGGATCTAGAAAACCCCCAGATACCAATTTTGACTAGAATCGGATCATAATTTCAAAACTCATTTGCCATTTTGGAGCTGCCATTTGTTTTCTTGCGTCTAACAAGAATTTCATAATGCATTGCCAGCCGAAAAATTGGGCCCAAAAGAATCGGTTACATACATATATGCATACATACATATATAAAGGAGAAACTAATAAAAGGGTATTAAAAAATTGAGAAACTCCAGACTTTCCTGGAACACTTGTATCGTATCCTACCCAAAGAGGATCAAATAATATTGTAACGAGAAGCAATCACACTTCAATCCTAAACATATTGAAGCTTATAAGTTCAACCACGAGGCGTTAAGAAGTCAAGGGTAAAATAACTTTCACTATTCCCTGTATAGTGATAAAGCCGTAAGCTTCTCTTGAAATTTAATATTCAGGCTAATACTCCTGAACATCAACTTCACGAAATATCGGCAAGATTTAATTGTTCGTGTAGGTACCTACCAACGAGAAGAATTATTATTTGAATTATATTTGTATGTATTCATGAACGAATGCTTATCTTGCTGTTCCTGTAGAATCAATAATTCTAGACAACACTTCACCATACCTTACTGTTGAGCTGCGAGATCTGTGCGCGTCCTACTCAACTATTTGAATTTACTTTGGCAAGTCAATGCAATGCAATGCAATTTCCTGTATCATTTCGATTACGACCTGATCCGATGAAATACGGTGTCGACGAGTTGGGGTTTCTATGACAGATACTGATCTGCTGAATTACCAATTCTATAGCTATTCAATATGGAGAATTAATGTAGATGAAATACGGGTTTGACAATTTACTGATTCTATGAAATGCGAATCTGATGAATTACCGTTTCTATAAAATAAGGTATTGACAAATTACAGATTCTATGTTATAAATATGTGATGAATTATCGTTTCTATAATATAAGGGTCTGACAAATTACTGATTCTATGAAATACGGATATGATGAATTAACGTTTTGATAAAAAACGAATTCGATGAATAACTGTTTCTGTGAAATACGAATCTGATGAATTACCGATTCTATGAAATACAGTTCCTATGAAATGCTGTTATGACAAAATACAGCTATGATGGATTATGGATTCGATGAAATACTGTTCTGGCGAATCACGGTTTCGATGTTCAACAGGTTCTTTGCGATATTGTCTCGATATACGATATTGATACTTCACTGTTCCTATAAAATACGGTTATTTTTTTTATCGCTTGGAGCGCACGAAAGGAAATCCCTATGATGGAATATCAATTCAATAAATTAAGGTATGATGTTTCACTCCTCTATGAAATACATTCCTTTGTTTAACTAAGTATATCATGAGATACATCATGATATTTTGATGAATTATTGGTTCTATGAAGTACTGTTTCTACAGAATGCCATTATGATAGAATCCCTTCTCATGAAATACGGTTTTGATACAATGCGATCTGACGAAATATATGTACCCCAATGTCAGTAGGCTTCTCCTTACGCACGTGTGCGTAAAGCGAGCAATCGCACGGTTATCATAGGTATGTTGATAGATGACTTTGTTTTCTTGCTCAGTCGATGTGTCAATGTCAGTTAATGTCAGTAGCTAGGTATAGGTACGTACTTATCTTTTCATAAACAAAACGAGTTATCAATCGAAACCGAAAGCAGGCAAATGATATTTTCTAAAAATGAGTTTTTTCTGTTGAAATTTCTCAATTTCAGTCAAAAAATGTCAAGCGATAACGATGAGATTATTTCTACGCCACCAGAAATCCTGGAGAGAGCAAAAATAGCTAGTATTGTCCATGATACGAGATCACTTGCAAAAACTTACTCAGAAAAAATATCATCATTCTCGGAGAATATTCTGATACTTTCAACAACTGCAAAGTGAATATAGATAAACAAGATAGTTTGATATGTTCATCGAATTCGTTAGTTGTGTAGATATGAAAAACGCTTTCATTTCAGTCAGAATTGAGGAGAATGGATCGTTATGCAATTTACCAATAGGAATTGTGATTTGTACCATTTCATGCAGATAGCTCGAAGTGACGAGAGATGTATTCGATATATGTGTCTTAACACAATATCTGTACTGTCCTGAAGAAAGTATAGAGTGCAGTCGTGAAAAAATTGTAGTATATTTCTGGAATTGTGAAGCAGTTAAGCACGCGGCATCGTGTATAACTGTCTCCACTTCGTGCGTAATATGCGTATTACAACTCTTTTTATGTAATATATTATTAGGAGACGTATCTGTTCAAATGATAACTCATGTGTATTATACTTTAATCAACTCTCATAAGTAATTCATTTTTGTTTTTTATTCCAGAACTGGGAGTTTCAATGGTATACAAACAACAGGAGCAATAGTTATGTCGAAGATGGTATCCTGCATATTAAACCAACGCTTGTGGCTGATGACTATGGCAACGATTTTTTGTACTCTGGAACCATAGACTTGAACGGAGGAAGCCCAGCTGATCAGTAAGATTCTCCGCTTCTTATGAAGTGGTATTCATATTCATAACCACAACAACTATAGAATGGATGTTGCGGCACTAGAACCATGGACCATTCCTAGTAAATAATATAGGCATGATACGATATAAGTTGGAAATCCTTTTGGAATCAAATATCGATGCATCAAATTCACTACGGACACAATTTTTCCTCAAAAAAACTATTGAGATTTGGTATCATTTTTCTCTTACTGCAAATCGTTCTTCGATAATGAGAGTGAATTTCTCATTTTGGTAGTGAAATTCTATTTCAAATTTCAGGAAACTTTCAACTCATCTAGCCATCTCAATATTGACTATGAATATCGATGATTTCATTGCTTACAAAAGAAAAAAGAAACAACACAAAGTCGGTCGACCACACTTTATATAAAGATCTTCAGATAAAAGTACCCGGTTTCGGCACTACGGCCATCATCAGACGATGGTACCGAACAATATGGGACTCAATATGTAGAACATCGAATCATGGTACTATACGATTTTTGCCAACGGGTTGAAAGAATCTCCTTTCATTGCTGTCAGGTAGTAACGTTTAACAAAATGACACTTGGTCACTGGTTGTATATCTTTGGTATCTTACCCGTCCTTATGAATTCCAGAATTTTCCTCAATAGCAACCAATAGTATAGTGATATGCTGTGAATAAAAAAATGTAGAAATATACATTTCATCCGGAAAATCGTCACTATCAGCGCCTACCCTCACCGATTCAAATCGATTCGCATTGATACTAGCTACATTATATCTCACCATCGACTATCCAAGCACAGCAATTTTGATACTGAAGTATATATATCAGGAGTTTTCGGATGGCGAAGTGTTTTCCATAGTATAAATATATTATTTGAGACACTACTCTTGTTTTTATATTTCAATGTAGAAGTGAACAAGTGTCGAACGGATCATATCAATTCAGTTCACTCCTCGGTTCACTTGAATGCGCAGAGGCCAAACTCCGTATATGAGTTTGTAGATACAACTTGATCTTCAAAACGTGTAATATGTATCCGTGATAAATTTTTCTCGATGTTTCAGATGCACTAACCCTCAATGGTATGGTTGCGTTCGGAGTGGATCATCAACAAATATCCTGAATCCTATCAAGAGTGCTCGTATTCGTAGTCTTGAATCTTTTGCTTTCAAATACGGCAAGGTGGAAATTCGTGCAAAATTACCGAGTGGTGATTGGTTATGGCCAGGTGAGATGAAACATATTCAATGGATATAATATCTAACATTTTCTATCCGAGTATTTCCACTTTCAACTCTGGTAATACTACATATTTGTTGCTATAATGTAAGAGTATAGAAGAGGAAGAGCTGTATTCAGGTGGGCCTCACTTTGTCACTTTTTTGGACAAAGACTAGTAGTACTTGTTTCGGATATTATGGGCACCAGATTCTTGATAGATATGATTTACTTCACCTGCTCCTACAAACTGAGTTTCTGAGAAGGCCTGGGTAGCAACAGTGAAGAAGACACAGGAAGTATCTTCCTTGGTGCCTACAATAAACTAGGATTCGATGTTATTGATCAGACCTGTCTCAGGACCACTTGTAAGAAGACCTGCATTCACGGAGCCAAGAGGAAGCAGGCTCTTAGTATAAACTCTGGGTTTAGCCTGGAATACCGGTTGCTATATCCATTCTGGATAATTACAGAACTCGAAAAAATAATCCAATCTCTGTCGGAAATACTCTACTTCTTCATTATTTCTACCTGGAGAATCAGAAATACAGTTTCTATCGATTGAAACAGATTCAATTCGTATCTATTTCTCCTCTTCCTACAATTTCAATATTTTTCGAAATAGGAATTCTTGAGGTTCATTGTAATCTTCTCTCAATGTCAAATTCTCGAATACAGAGCACAGAAGCACGACAGGAACATTCAAATAAAGATACCTCTAGGCCCACATGTCACTACTTACTAACCTGACTTAACCTCACCGTGAAAGAAAAAGACCAAACTGTTCGACTTGAAAATTATGAAAACATTGAATAAAACATAGGAAACCAAAATTAACGAGAGGAATCGAATGTAATCACGAAAATATTCATTCCAAGAATTCGAATGATACTGGAGCTTTCCAGGACACTTTATTCAGGATCACCGGATATCATCATATCAGAAAACGACAGGAATTTGATGAAATAATATACAGGATGGAATAGTGGAGAACATATACGAACTAATATGTCCAACAAGAGAATCACGTTATACAATCATACTTTCCACTGGTATCGAAAGAAATATGAGAACACCATACTAGATCAGCAAGGAAGCGCGGCAAGAGAGAGAATCCAGAGAGAGTTTCCTCAGCCCGTCTTCAGCATTCATACTACCCAGCAGCCTTGGTGAAAGAAGAGCTAAATCCTGGATTCTGATTGGTTGAACTCCAAATTTATCATGGCCACGGAAATCTGCACATTGTACACATCAAACTCAAAAACGCGGAAAAATACCCTTTTACAGGAAAATAATCTACTATACCCTTGATTATGAATGAATGAATGAATTTGACAGTGGAATATTCAATAACGATAATAAGTTATAATCCGGTATACATCAATCATTTCAATAGCTAAGTTTTCCTTCTAACTTCCATATTATAAGCAAAGGGTTGAGAAATATGTAGGTCTAGGGTTGCTAGACAGGAATGGGCGTGTACACCTTAGTAGACCTTTTAACTCAAACCATGTTTATAATGATCCTTTTATACATAAATAATGATTGACGACATAACTCGATCGAAAAATTAACTGGAACGTTTTATTTTTGGTCATAAATAATAGTACCTTCTGAAAACAGATCCTCTTATGACGTAGAAACCTCATCTCGCCATAGTTAAAAGAAAATACCTAAAACGCCCGACGGAGACTGAGGCAACTGATATATTAATTATTTCAACTGTGATCTCGCGCTAATTCACTCTGTCAGAAATCATGTATCATTCATCTCTGTAGGAATAGTCTTGTTTCAGTATTAGGGTTTTGACGTCACATCATCGCCTCGTTCTGAGAGGTCCGAAAAATCGGGAATTTCAATAATCTTTTATAACACGTAGGGAGCTCACAGCAAGAAACGGTTTACGGTGGTAAGCTAGTTTGGGTGAGTTCTATCGAATTATGAAATAATTTTTTTTTGTGATATAAGCCCATTGATGAATTACTCAGTTCTACCAGGTTTTCGAATTTCGAACTTATTCCTAACGAGTGAAATTTGACTACAATCAGTCCCAGGTAATCAAATAATTATCAAAGGACTCTCAATGATGCTGGCTCAAGAACACTCAGTACAATAATAGGTCTAGTTCATAAGAAACTAACAAAATTTATTTCGATCGGCCCTATTTTCAGACATTCGAATGGGGTTGTGAACACTTTGCGTAGAATGAGCAATCGATCCATTTTCCTATTATATCTTGCAAAATGGCAAATATAAATTCTTATCAGGCGCTCTGCCAGTAGGTACCCAATATCAATTGAATTACAGATTTCGCTGACATTTTTTTGATGCTGCGTGTTTCTGCTGTTACAGAAAAGTATATATAACAAAACTTCAGTTATTTGGTTTTTCCTCTTCAAGATCGGTAGCAAAACGACAATGATCTGAGAAAGTCATTTCGAGTGTTTTGTATGGACACTCTGTCAAAAATGTCACATATAGAAACTGATGAAGAATATATATGAGAATATATCAGGATGAACTTGGATCGTGCGAAGGTGATTCTCTATAAAATCACCGTAGCCTTTCATAAGCTCGAAATGTATTCTGCAGTTCCATTCATAATCAGTTCCTTATGGAAACTCTCAATGAACTCGATATAAGTATGAGCTCTCATTTGCAGAAACATCCAAAATGAGTTAATTATGGCAGATCATCATTGAAACTTCGTGGAATTCGTGATTCTGTTAAGTGCTCGGCAGATACATAAGTTCCAATTGGCAATTCCCATCCGACTCTATGAGCATGTTTGATAGATAAATTTATAATCAGTTTCTAATGGCAATTCCTATTTGAAACACTGTAATATTCATGAAAGTAAAATGTATTCTGCTGTTATATTCATAATCTTTTGAATTGACTCGACCGTTACTTGATGGAAATCCCTAGGGAAATCCATGACAAATGTAAAAACTTCACAAACGATAAGATTTCCACAAAATTCTTAAACACACAACATGATTCGCTAACACAGTAGCTTCGTCAAGTGATATACTGGTACAATGAACTAAACATTTGTTTTCTTAGTTGGTAATAAAATTTATTCGCTATCAACCCTTTCAAGTTAATCATTATACCGTAATTTGATGTAGATATTGTGCCTAACTTCCGAAAATGTAGGTTTATCGATCCTGTCCACAGATAATTTAAGGTTGAACTTGAAGTTTGAACTTGAAGATGAACTTGAAGGTTGAACTTGAAGGTTGTACTTGAAGGTTCAACTTGAGAGTTGAACTTGAAGTTTGTACTTGGAGGTTGAACTTGAAGTTTGAACTAGAAGGTTGAACTTGGAGGATGAACTTGAAGGTTGAACTTGAAGTTTGAATTTGAAGTTAAACTTGAAGTTTGAACTTGAATTTTGAACTTGAAGGTTGAACTTGAAGTTTGAACTTTAAGGTTGAACTTGAAGGTTGAACTTGGAGATTGAACTTGAACTTCGAACTTGAAGGTTGAACTTGAAGGTTCAACTTGAAGTTTGAACTCAAATTCAAACTTGAAGGTTGAACTTGAAGGTTTTACTTGAAGGTTCAATTTGAAGGTTGAACTTGAAGTTTGAACTTGATGGTTGAACTTGAAGTTTTATTGTGAAGGTTGAACTTGAAGGTTCAACATGAAGTTTGCATTCGAAGGTTGAACTTGAAGTTTGAACTTGAAGGTAAACTTGAAGGTTGAACTTGGAGGTCGTACTTGAAGGCTGAACTTATAGGTTGAACTTGAAAGTTCAACTCGAAGGATGAACTCAAAGGTTGAACTTGAAGGTTGAACTCGAAGTTTGAACTTGAAGTTGAACTTGAAGGTTGAACTTGAAGGTTGAACTCGAAGGTTGAACTTGAAGGTTGAACTTGAAGGTTGTACTTGATAAGGTTCAACTTGAAGATTGAACTTGAAGTTTGAACTTGAAGGTTGAACTTGAAGTTTGAACTTGAAGGTCCGATTGTGCATTTCACTACCAAATATAGTATTCATGCTTCAATTTCATTTTCCCAATTTTCAAATTTTCCCAGTTGACCCGTTTAAAAAATAAAAGGGAGGAGAGACATTAGAGAAAATCACTGTATATTAGAGAAAACAAATAAAAATATTTCTGGTCAGTAGTACAAATTTTCACATTTTTTCGAAAAAACAAATCTTTTTCTCGAAAATCTGGAAAGATAAATGAAGAATTGCGAAACCAATTCGAGGAATATGCTCGAGAATTATAAAATTTTCAAAAATGTTCCATGAAATTGGGGGTATTGATAATTTTTCAATATTTTGCAGAGGTTTGTTTGTCACCCTATATAGCCAGAGGTTACCATGTATTTCCATCAGCGGTCTATCTCTCATATACCCAATGGATAAATCTTCAGAATGAAGAGAACCGCATCCGAATAAGTGGAATTTTCGCGAAAATATTCAACGTTTAATTCAGAGCGAAATTGTGCTTGATGCAGTTCGATTGATTAGCAGTTTATATCAATGATTATTTTGAGAACTTATTCGAATCATGAATTTAGAATGTTGAATGTAACAAAATTTCAAACTATTTCTCGTCTCCAGTAGTTAACTGAAATGGAAGTGCTTTTAATCAACTTAGGCACTTTTAAACTCCCTTCTATCGTCGAGCAGCGAACAGAAACAAAAGAATATAAATTAACTGAGGTGAGCAATTTATTTGCAGCTCTGTGCAGGGCCTCTAAAACGGTGCACAACTTTGTTGTTCAGCTATGTGTGTAACAATACGGTTGGATCTAATGATCTTCAGTCCTTTATAGTGTGAACGGCTGAAAAATATATTGAAGCTACCTACTAATGCTTCCAATTTCAAACTCCTTTCAAAGGGATTCCATTCTGTACACGAAGTAAATAAAACACAAGTTTTGAATACAAGCAGTCACTGAAATGTATGTACTATAGATTTGAAAGGATCAAACGATTTTTTTTGTATATTGTTGGATCCGTATATCGGATGTCCACGTAGTGTGTGAAGCTCTATATATAGCTCCATTGCAATACACAGATATGGATTGCAATATGTCTGCTGCTTTTCGTTAGTAGAAAGTAGTAGTAGAAAAAGTAATTTTTTCTACTACTGCAATGAAAAGTAGCGCATTTCTCATAGCTTACCTACTTTTGAAACCATATGTATTGCCCATACTGTGAGAAATATTTTTTCTCACGGCACTTTGCCATCACCACATACATTTCCATGGAGAATCAACAAAAATCGATCAAAACTTGGCTGCTGTTCAGCTTTGAATAGTTGTCACAACTGTCAGAAGAAATTTTTCAAATTCTTTAAGGTAGTTCTCATTAGTGATTTCGATAGAAATCGCATTTTCCATAAAATATTGTTCCAATAATTCATAATAAATAATATGATGTATATACCGAGATGTATGACGATTTTGATAAATTAACCGCCAGAGACAGAGATAATGGTAAAAGCTGCGAAAGTTGGATTTGTTTCCGGAAATTTCAAGAAAAAAGTATGAATTGGCATATTGGTACGAAAAATTTATGGAATCTAAAAAAATACAGAAATATTTTTTTTTTAGGAAAGTGCACATCATCTTGAAGGTTGAATTTGAAGGTTGTACTTGAAGGTTCAACTTGAAGGTTGAACTTGAAGTTTGAACTTGTAGGTTGAACTTGGAGTTCGAACGTAAAGGTTGAACTTGAAGGTTCAACTCGAAGTTTGGACTTGGAGGTTGAACTGGAAGTTTGAACTTGAAGGTTGAACTTGGAGTTTGAACTTGAAGGTTCGACTCAAAGTTTGAACTGGAAGGTTGAACTTGGAGTTTGAACTTGAAGTTAAACTTGAAGGTTGAACTTGAAGGTAGAACTTGAAGGTTGTACTTGAAGGTTGTACTTGATCAACTTGAAGGTCGAACTTGAAGTTTGAACTTGAAGGTTGAACTTGAAGTTTGAACTTGAAGGTTGAACTTGGAGGATGAACTTGAATTTTGAACTTGAAGGTTGAACTTGAAGTTTGAACTTGAAGGTTGAACTTGAAGGTTGAACTTGAAGTTTGAACTTGAAGTTTGAACTTGGAGGATGAACTTGAAGGATGAACTTGAAGGATGAACTTGAAGGTTGAACTTGAAGTTTGAATTTGAAGTTAAACTTGAAGTTTGAACTTGAATTTTGAACTTGAATGTTGAACTTGAAGTTTGAACTTGAAGTTTGAACTTGAAGGTTGAACTTGAAGGTTGAACTTGGAGATTGAACTTGAACTTCGAACTTGAAGGTTGAACTTGAAGGTTGAACTTAAAGGTTGAACTTGAAGGTTCAACTTGAAGTTTGAACTCAAATTCGAACTTGAAGGTTGAACTTGAAGGTTGTACTTGAAGGTTCAACTTGAAGGTTGAACTTGAAGTTTGAACTTGATGGTTGAACTTGAAGTTTGATTGTGAAGGTTGAACTTGAAGGTTCAACATGAAGTTTGAATTTGGAGGTTGAACTTGAAGGTCATACTTGAAGGTTGAACTTATAGGTTGAACTTGAAATTTCAACTCGAGGTATGAACTCAAAGGTTGAACTTGAAGGTTGAACTCGAAGTTTGAACTTGAAGTTGAACTTGAAGGTTGAACTTGAAGGTTGAACTTGAAGGTTGAACTTGAAGGTTGAACTTGAAGGTTGTACTTGATAAGGTTCAACTTGAAGATTGAACTTGGAGTTTGAACTTGGAGGTTGAACTTGAAGTTTGAACTTGAAGGTTCAACTTGAAGTTTGAACTTGAAGGTTGAACTTGGAGTTTGAACTAGAAGTTAAACTTTAATGTTGAACTTCAAGGTTGAACTTGGAGTTTTAACTTGAAGTTCGAACTTGAAGAATGAACTTGAAGGTTTAACTTGAAGGTTCAACTTGGAGTTTGAACTTGGAGTTAAAGTTGAAGGTTGAACTTGAAGGTTCAACTTGAAGGTTGAACTCGAAGTTTGAACTTGAAGGTTGAACTCGAAGGTTGAACTTGAAGTTTCAACGTGAAGGTTAAACTCGAAGGTTCAACATGAAGTTTGAACTCGAAGGTTGAACAAGAAGTTTGAACTTAAAGTTGAACTTGAAGGTTGTTCTTGAAGATCGTACTGAAGGTTGAACTTGTTGGTTGAACTTGAAGTTTCAACTCGAAGTTTCAACTCAAAGGTTGAACTTGCAGGTTGAACTTAAAGGTTGAACTCAAAGGTTGAACTTGAAGGTTGAACTTGAAGGTTGTACTTGAAGGTTCAACTTGAAGGTTGAATTTGAAGGTTGTACTTGAAGGTTCAACTTGAAGGTTGAACTTGAAGTTTGAACTTGAAAGTTGAACTTGAAGTTTGAACTTGAAATTGAACTCGATGGTTGAACTTGAAGTTTGTTCTTGAAGGTTGAACTTGATTTTTGGAATTTCATCTAAAAAATCTAACCTCAAAAATGTTATGTATAGAATTACTCGGTACGAACCGTTGTCACTAGCACCCTCTTTATGAGAGTCAGATATAAAAACGAATTCATGCGATGTGTCAGCTAACAAAACACATCCATACGAAATGACATTACAATACTGCCAGTATTTTCGACATACTCGTAAAAAATTTGGAAAAACGTATTTAAGATCACAGCGCCAAAGTGGCCGGTTGTGAAACTATGAAAGTATACATTATTTTGAAATGGTTCATTCGCTTTTGTTTATTATTTCGATTTTTTATAGTGATTTAAGCGAAAAAAACTGTTTATTTGTGTACTGTTGTGATTCGAGGGAGCTCTTCAGCAGATATTCGTTCAATGAAGTATTTTTCACTACTTTGAAATACATGAGATTATGATTCAGTAATAAAATAAATATTGCAAATCAAGTGGAGTGAATGTGATGTTCAGAAAGTATAGAAATTTGAGTGTAGTCGATTCGTCTACTCACTCATATGTTTATATGGAAGAGAAACAGTCCCCAAAGCTGGATTTATCTGCGAATAATAATTGATCTACCTAGTAGGAAAAATTGAACATATGTACTTTGTTTTTGAGTAGGGATTCCATTTTTCAAAATAAAGAATTCAAACTCGAAAAATATCACAATGAGAATATGCATGGAAACTTGATTGTAAACAAAAATTCTATGTACTTTCCATTAGTTACTACAATATTCGCAAGAGGACGTTTCGCTTATTTTTGATCAACTATATATAGGAACCTTATTGATGAATGATATGGATAGAAATACGTCAACATGCACTTCATTATATTAGGATAATGATTATAGCATTGAGGCTAGAGAATAATAGGGTGAATCAGCGGAAAAATTATGAATATTTATACAAGAATGACATATCCATATAATATTTTAATACGATTCTGTATATTCTCTGAATATTCTGATAATTTGTCAAATTGGATGTCAATGGAATATTCCTGATCATTCTGGAAACATTCTATGGGAATATTCTGAAATAAGTACGAACGTTGTCAGAATATTCGTCTCATATGCTGTGCTGTTTGGGATATTATAACGGATTATGTGCGACACGTCATCATAATGAATAATACAACCTTTATGTCGTTGCTTTTGTTCTGAGAAAAGAAAGAGGTCGTTGGTTTTCTGAAAATGGGATAAAATGAGTCTGCAAACGGGAATGCAAATAAGAACAACCAAATTGGAATCGAATCAGAATTCATCATATTGTGACGTAAGACATGAGACGTTGTGGTGGGGAAACCAAAGAAATAGCACAGAAAAATAAAAACGATACTGCCGCAATATCCTTTGGAGACCTCTTGGAAACTGCATATCACGTCTGAAAAAAACATCCTCATTTTTCAAACCTCCCAGGTACACTTCCTCAGTAGGCAAACAAAAAAATGCCACAGAAGAACGAACACAATACTCCCAATATCCTTTGAAGACCTTTTTGGGAATGCATATCACGTCTCATTAAAACATCATGATGCCTAAATCACCCCTTAATCCCTGAAACATCCCAGGAATACCTCTCAGTAGGCACACAAAGAAATGCCACAATATAACAAAAACAATACTTCAATATCCTTCAAAGACCTCTTTGGGAAGTGCATATTATGTCTTGGAAAAACATCTGCATGCCAACATTTTCAAAACATCTCAAAACATCTCAGGGATGTATGTGCTCGCTGGGTTATCTACTCTAGCAAGGGAGTCACTTTTTTTTGAAGCACACCCTGTATATAATATCATCATCATTATAACTATAATTATTTCCATATCATTATCATACTTTTCTCCATTTCCTGGAACGCACGAAAGAAAATCCCTATCATTTCGAGAAACATCATGCATGCGTAGCTACTCAGGATGAACAGAGAGAAAAGGTAGGAAATCGAATTTTTCTGAACTCTCTGAGGTCATAAGTTCTTGGGAATACTTCTATTGTCAAAGAATTTCACAGCTTTGCATTATTAGGTCAATGATTATCATTCTAAATATACTAAATATCTGACAGGGAAAGAAATAACACCTGTTGGTATAGTGTGGGGCACGACCTACTGGAAGATCCAATATTTCGTCGAATAAGGGTAAATTGTTGGGAACATGTGTATTCAAACTTTTTTGTTCAAACATCAGTGATCTATCTTTCCTATAAAAGATTTTTCCATCAAACAATCAAATGTCTAGAAGTAATTCGTTGAGAGAATATTCCTCTATTATCGAGAAAATGTCTTCACTCTACTCTCTACTAAATATCAGCTCGGACCTTCTGATATATACCAATAGGATTCGAAAGTGCTGATGGAACTATCCTTCTCGATAAAAAATGCTTTTTCATTTCACTAACATGTACTGTCTATTTTTCAGCCCTTTGGATGTTGCCCAGATGGAACCAGTACTCTACCTGGCCAGCCTCAGGAGAAATCGATATCATGGAGAGCAGAGGCAATAAACAATTGACAGATGAAGCTGGCACAAATATTGGTACTCAACAAGTAGGAAGCACTCTTCACTGGGGACCAAACCCTTCTTATAATAGATATTACCTCACCCACTTCTCTAAAAATATCGAATCAGGTTTCGATGCAGACTTTCACAAGTACCAGTTGGAATGGACGAAAAACAATTTGACTTTCTCAATCGACGACGAGAGAATCGGCACCATTACGCCCCCTGCTGGAGGTTTCTGGGAGATGGGAGGATTAGGTGACACTGGTCTTGATAATCCATGGAAAAGGAACTCTAAAATGGCACCTTTCGATCAAGAATTCTATATTGTATTCAACTTGGCTGTTGGGGGTACAGGCTACTTTCCTGATAATATCAAGAATCCTGGTGGAAAACCTTGGAAAAATACATCTCCAAAAGCAGCAACAGACTTTTGGGAAGGAAAAGACCAATGGCTACCAACTTGGGATCTAAAAACTGACAATAGCCACTTAAAAGTTGATTATGTGAAAGTTTGGGCAATTTAAGGACTATGTTGTATTAAAGATACCTGAAAGATAATCGTATTTTATTCGATACTGACAATGTTATGTTGTTGATGGAACAAGTGAACGGTAGGGACTTATTATTTTGTCGAGTTCTCATTCAGTCATCGTCCTATACAGGCCACGCATTAGAAGTTTTCTAACTTGCAGTTGGATTGGAGACTCGAAAATTAATATGCTGTTTCAATCTTTCATTTTCAATCTTCCTGAAATATTCCTAGTCCTATAGCTACACAGGGTGTGCCAGAAGTCAGCACAAACTGTTTCATTTCAAATAGGAACCTACCTCTTCTCCACCTGTTGGCCTTCTGATTCTGAGTTCGGACGACCTGATTAATAAGAACACATCTATCACAGTTTTCGAATTATATCGATTTATCTGAAAATAATTACGCAGTAGAAGATCACGAATACATTTTCATCTCGCAAACCGTTCGGCATTAGAACACCAAACTTGTTCAGCTGAAAGTCTAGGCTAGCCCCTTATGTCCCATTGATGGTCCCATTTTGTACCATAATAGGCGCGGGTGATTTCCAAATGTGCCATTGGAAAATCAACAGAAACTCAACCTTTTCCAATGACAACTACAAGAAAATTTAGTGTTTTCTCAGTGTAGGTTGAAGGATGAATACAACAATATATGTATGTTTCTCCGTGTATACGGTGGTGTTATTCGAGGTAACGAATTTCGAGCCATCGAATACAAAGACGACATCAAAGCTCTCGCTAGGGTAGTTGGGTGATCTGTGGCATAGGTGCTTGAAAAAGCAAGATAATTCTTGACATTTCTTGTTTTTCACTGAATAACTCGATAGGGGTTCAACTCATATTGACGTCTATATTTTACGTCATGATTGGTCCACGACGTCTTGAATACATCCTTAGAAAGTGGTGTATTCTTCCATTCGACCAAATTTCTGTTTGAATAGTGCTTTTGTTAAGTACTGAATGAACTCATTTTCAGCCAAATTATTCATTTCTGAGGAATCTGCTGAAACAGGTCGATTTTTGTTTTCATTTTGCCATAATAATAGGGAAAAACTGAATATACAGGGTGGTCCACATTTGAGTTATAACGAACACGACATTTTGTCTTATAGAACACCCTATTTATCACACATATGGATTATATACAGTGCGTCCAATAATTTCAACGCTCTCGTGAAGTAGTCTATAAATTCATTCTCAACAATATTATCCATTTCTGGGAAGTCTTCTAAGACAGGAGGAACTTTTGTTTCCGAATTGACACATTCATAAGGAGACATGAAAAATACACAGGATGATACACTTTTGAATTTTGAAGTTTGCGACACATTTTTAAACGGAAAACCCTATATATTATTGACTTTTTGTGATCTCTATATGAGAAGCTGGATTCGAAATTATATCAGAAGTTATGAACGCCACAACAATAGGAAGCATTCATAGATGATGAGACATACTTCCAGATCATCCTACAAGGAATATGCATCGTAAAATCAATACTTTATTGTTCTATTTATAGTTGTTATCTTTGATTTGCTTGCTACTTTGGAAGACTTGATTATTGTAATCCAATTTGAAAACAGTCCTATTCTGATAACTTCGACTAGATTCACTAGATATAGATAAGGAAAGTCCACAATTGAGCTTTTTCAAAAACGAATTTGCTTGAACTCAAAACTCAATTGGTGCGGTCGGTAGGACTGCTGAAGAAGTTTTCCATCGCAAAAAAAGTTTTATTGTGTACACGATTGATCAGCAAATCAGAAAAAATTTAGAAAAAGCCAAGCAAAATTTCAAGATAATGCAGAACAAACATTGCTTAACCTATCGAGAACGTGAGTGGACAACCCGAGACTACGAGAGGCAGCAAGAAGACAAAAATTTCTCAATCTTTCAATCCAGTCTTCCAGCAATCCAGAAGAAGAATAGTCCCTGGCCCTAACATAAGAAACCCTAGAATAAGAAACCCTACCAGTAAGAAAACCTAGCATAAGAAACCGGAACAACCAGAGACTCCAGAAGGAAACAGACACACATCGCTGACCCTGAAAGAAAGAATGCAAACAAAATTCAGAAAAACCAAAAATGCAATCCAAATTCCCACAATATCTATAGTTATATAGCTTAGAATGAGGAACTTAAAAAAATTTTCAAATATCAATTCGGAAGATAATTTACGAATCATGGCTCAGGTGAATGAACCATTAATGAGATACCAAGCTGATAATATTCAAACATTTGATGGCAATCGGAAGCAGAACATATCTTTTCAAAGACTCGTTCACCCAACGAACAGCGAGGCTCTGGAACACATTGCCAAGGGAGGTGTTCCCCGAGGCATATAACCCCCAGAAATATAAAAAAACACCAATTCCTACCTTCTTTCCCTTGGTTCTCACGATGTTCTCTGAACATTACAGGATATCCCTTTTCGAGGAAACCAGAACATAAAAAAAAATTGATAGGATCCTAAGTAAATTGAAAGATCGTGCAGATGATTTGATTTACAGTCGAAGTGAATTAAATGCATGGACCTCTATTGAGAATACTTCGACATTCTGTGATAAGAGAAACATTATTGACTGTTTGATCACGTTGGAACCTTAGGAATCATATACAATTTGGTATGAGAATTCGAGATGCTAGAAGCCTTCTGTTTCCAAAATGAAGTACAGAAATACAAAATGCTGAAGAAAAACGAATCAAAGTCAAACACTATGATGAATTTGCCCCTGAAACCTTTATTACTTGATTACCCTATAATGTTCAGCTAGTTGTGAGACTGAGAAATCCAATTAATATTGACAGCTCTCGCAGAAGTAAGAGAAGAAGAGAATTTCATTTATTTCAAATCAGGTCAAGATACCAATTAATTGAATTCAGTTAACAAGCCAAAATCCAATGTAAATCAGTATGTGCAGAAACCATGCTTTTAAAGTTTCCGGAATTCGAGAACAACTCAAAATCAAATGTCAAGATATTCAACTCCTACTATACCAATCTTTTCACAATTTCGAAAGCAAACTTGCTCTAATTGGAGACCACCATTCAAAAACCAACAGAATTTGTTCCAAGCAAAAAATCACCCTGTAAGTACCAACCCTGTAAGACCCTTCCACGGACATCTTCAATCATATAATCATTTTTCGTTTCAACAACGTCTAAACTTGAATGAACAAAGATCGAGTGCAATAATTAAAAATCCAAACCAAAATCAAAACCAATTTCGAAGAAATGTACCTCAATTCAAACCAGAGCCAATAGACACTAGGTCAGCAACTCGAAAGTAAGACCAATATAAATTCACGTCATTCAATATGATGAACCAGAAAAGTCAGAATTTGTGAAGTACAACTTTTCTGAACAGTACGAAGAAGGCAATCAATATTTTTCAATGAACTCTCAAGAACGATTCCAAAGTGAACAGAATTACGAAGACTATTCTTATCGATATTATATTATTTGATTATTACGGAAATATCTAGGATTTTCAAAATCCTCAACCGAACACTAATTTTGAAAATGTTAAAGTATATTTCACTCCGAAAGCCAGCCAGAAAAATCACAGGTAATACAAATGAATACGCATAGATTATATGAACCATATATTCATATTCCTGAAATTGACACAATTTTTGATTGACACCGGTAGCTCTACACCTTTTCAAGTTGTGAATCAGAAACGGTCATGTTTCATGCAGAAAGTGTGAATTGAAATTCAAAGAGGTGAATTCGGGTGAATTGAATTTCAGAATGCGTGAATTGTAATTCAGAATGATGAATTGAATTTTAGAATGCGTTAATTGAAAATCAAAAAGGTAAATTGAATTTCAGAATGTATGGATTGGAATCCAGAATGGTGGATTGAATTTCAGAATGCGTTGATTGAAAATCAGGAAGGTTAATTGAATTTCAGAATGTTTAAATTGATATTCAGAATGGTGAATTGAATTTCAAAATACGTTAATTGAATTCAAGAATGTGTGAATTCATATTCAGAAAGAGTAACTTGTAATTCAGAAACAGTCATTTGTGAATCAGAAAGCATTCTTTGATGAATTCCAGGAATGAATCGGAGGAAAACTCCACCAGGCTGCGAAAAGTTATAGAGGACAACGTGTACAGGACTATCTGCAGGACAATGGGCGTGTACACCTTAGTAGAACTTTTAATTCAAACCATGTTTATAATGATCCTTTTATACATAAATAATGATTGACGACATAATTCGATCGAAAAATTAACTGGAATGTTTTATTTTTGGACATAAATAATAGTACCATCTGAAAACGGACCCTCTTATGACGTAGAAACCTCATTTCGCCATAGTTAAAAGAAAATACCAAAAGCCCTACGGAGACTGAGACAACTGATATATTAATTCTTTCAACTGTGATCTCGCGCTAATTCACTCTGTCAGTAATCCTTTATCATTCATCTCTGTCTGGAATAGTCTTGTTTCAGTATCAGGGTTTTGATGTCACATCATCGCCTTGTTTTCAGAGGTCCAAAAAATCGGGGATTTCAATAATTTTTTATAAAACGTAGGGAGCTCACAGCAAGAAACGGTTTGCGGTGGTGAGCTAGTTTGGGTGAGTTCTATCGAATTATGAAATAAATTTTTTTTGTGATATAAGCCCATTGCGCAATTTGTCGCGTTTCAATGTCAAGAAAACCAGTTATAAAGTTATTTCGGTGCAAGTAGTTAAAACTAAGAGAGCACGACTACCAGCATAGGGAAATACATGCTTTAATCTTAACTGGAACGCGGCCTGTGTTCTAGCGGGGAAGCGGGGTAGCGGGAGCGCGAGCTTATCGAAACCGCAACAAATAACACTTTAATGACAATAACAAGATGGTGACGACATCATCATCATCATGATGAATTTTTAAATAAATAAATTAAAAAAAGCTGTCACCGCTTGGGGGGAATTGAACCAGGGACCTTTGCATTATGAGACAGCGTATATACACACTGTGGTATTCCGACCTCCGTGATATTTCAATTATTTTAATGCTATTCAAAC